TCATGTTTCCGCCATGTGAAAGTAAAGGACTTGCATTACAAACTTCAGGTCACAATTGCTGAAAGGTGACTGCAGGGACTGGCCTGGTATTACAAAATGTTCCTTGCCAACCAAGAGCAGCGAAGGAAGACCCGAGTTCCCCCAGGGCCTGTCGTGGAGTGTTGTGTAAGAAGTTAGATTATTGTTGGTGTCAGAGCTCTGAGGATCATACTGAAATGAAATAAAGATGTATATAAAGAAAGATAGACTAACATAGCCTAAGGAACAATTGTATTTGATATGAAGTATCCTAGAATAAAGCATTTAGAAGTGATAGAAATTAAGAAAGCTTTCACTTCGCTGAGAGATAAAGGAGGGTAAATCAAAGATGATTTAAACACTTGTAAATATATCTATAACTAATTGCTCTCGATAACTTATTTAATGTTAGATTATTGTTGGTATCCGAGCTTTGAGATAATACCGAAATTAAAATAAATAAATAAATAAATTCAGGTAGACTGACATAACCTAAGAAAATATTGTTCTTGTGATAAATTATCATAAAGTATAACATCCAAAGGAATGGAAATTAAGAAAGGGGAAAAAATCAAAGAGGATTTTAAAATTTGTGAAATATAGTTATAACTAATCGCTCTTGATAACTTATTTAACAGAGGAACTATAATTTTCTCGTTTATGTTTCATAATCACCAGGTTCATCTTTTTGTTCGTTGCAAATGAAACCTTGTTTGACCAGCGGGCAAAAGAAAAATTGACTTGTCTAACATGCTCTGAAATGAAAACCATTAAACAAGATTAATGCTGTGGGTATCCCATATCGACATGGAGTAATTTTCTATGAAACTTCTGTCCAATTCTCTGCAGATAGAAATAGGTTTCGGCACTAGTACTTTTGACTAATAACGCAAAGCAGAGGAATTAATGTACACCGAACGGATTCTTTTGATATTATCAATGAATGCTCCTCATGATATAGAAGAAACGTCGAAGGTTGATCGTTTAAAAGACTGATAGTTCAGTAATTGACGTTTATGCCTGGTCATAGTGATTGATTGCTGAGCTTTTATTGCGGATATCGGAACAGAGTACATGTACTGTAATTCTTAATTTCCGTCCTCATGAAATTAACGATCTCAGCTTGAAAACTACAAAATTTATTAAATTCGATAATGATAACACACGAATGTATATTTTTTTAACATTTTAACTACTGTATTTTATTTAAGAATAAAAACAAATATATTGTCGAGCCTATTAGTTTCTGATCCATAAGCCTGAGACGGTAAGATTTTACATATATAGGACTGTGAAATAATCTTTACAATACAAGGATGATGAAGGTTTATCAGACTTTTAAAATGCTCTTATGTTTTGGGGAAAGATGCGAGTATAGTTTTTTTTCTGTAGCGAAAGCAAATTGTATTTTAGTAAGAGCGCAAATAAAAAATAATAATTTAAGAACAATTCATCGTATTTATATAATATTGTTAGTTATCTTTCGTTTTATATGATTACATATGATTATCTGTACTATAATTTGTAATATGAAGATATTCATTATAATCTTTATGATCTTAATTATTAATCCTGTTCTCTGAACGATCATTTTGCTAATATATTTTTTATAAGGATGACAATAATATTGTTTCTGATAGTTTTAATTATTATGGTCCCATTAGTGTTCTTATATATCAATCCATTCATTACCTGATATATATATTTTCACATCTGAAATGTATGCTGAGCCCCTACCTAGACCCTTCCTATCTCTTTCTTTCTCTCTCTCTCTCTATATATATATATACACACACACACACATATCCATATATACATACATATATGCATAAACACAAACATATATATATGTGTGTGTGTACTTGCATACACACATATGTGTATGTATATATACACACTTGCATGTGCATAAAAAACACACTTATGTGTATATGTATATGTATATATATATATATATATATATATATATATATATATATATATATGCATGTATATATAAATGTGCATATATACATGTGTAGATATATATACATACGCATGTAGATGTATATTCGTATGTAGATATATATATGTGTATGTGTGTGTGTATGTGTGTGTGCGTGTATGTGTATGTGTGTGTGTGTGTGTGTGTGAATGGCAAAACACTCTATCGTGTAAATACTATAATGGAAAATCCCACAATGGAGAGCTATATTTATTGAAAATGAGACAAACTTTAGAAATCCTCTTGTATTTCATCCTCATATCTGAAAAGGAAAGGGAGTAGAGGGAGTATAAGAGAGAAAGAAAGGGAGGAGAGGCAAGGCGGTGAACACAAGCATGTGAGGACAGAAGAACGGAAGCGAAGGAATGTCAGGTCGAAGGATCGGGTATCTATGTGAGCATAAGGGAGAAAGTGGAGGATGAGGGAAGCGAAGAGACTGTCGGCAGGAGAAAACCACCCCCGCAGTTGCTTAATTAAGTCTGCGGGGGTGGATATCAG